CTCACAAATGATGCAAACAAGATTATCAAACCCAAGATATTAAAATCACTGCTGCCTGGAGACAAGATTTGTAGTAAATTATCAATTTCCCAGCATTACTTTAGAACACCTGTCGTGACACTCCTACACAAATAACCCAGACTACAATTGTATTGTATTTGTACAAAAACAGCAAAAAATATTTTTCATAATTTAATATTCCACTGTTTCTCCAACAGAAACGTTCGGAAAAACGTCATGTTGAGGAACCATAAAGCTAATACCACGTAAAGGATAAAAAAAAAAAAAAAAAAAGAAGAGAGATCGCGTGATATTTTAGAGCCTTTGGCCCGCGAAGGCCCAATCTAGCTCGTTCATATCACCGCAGAAATAACTGGAAAACACAATCTAGATTTGAAAAACGAACTTAACAGCCTCATCCACTTTTGGCTAACCAAACCTATATCGATTGATTTTCGCCATAACATATTTTGCTTTAAAATTCACCAGAGTCCTCCCGTATGCATGCCATGTTTAAGAACTTAGTCTTTAATTTAGAGTAGTATTCTCGACTGCATACCAAATTATTACCCGCACAAGCAGGTAATCGCAATAAATTCCTTGAATTTTCCCACAAATAATACCAACTTAATAGACCCTGTATAGATAATCATTTTTTTTCGAAGACAAGATGAAATCCAACTTCGGGTCAAAACTCATCCAATTTTAGAGATTGGCATGATTTCAAAGAAATATTACCTGTCATTAATTTTAAGCCCATGCATGTAGTTTGTCCAAGGTTCACATGCCTCAACAATCGTGTCTGGATCCTTCTTCTTTTTGGCTCCAGAGTTGTCGCGTTCCCGATGCCGCAGACACGTGGTGTTGTGCACCGGAGTTCGCCAGTATCACCACAGTGTTACATACATACATACATACATACATACATACATACTTTATTTGTCATGTAGGTCAGTAGAAGAAGGCAGCTAAAAAGCTGATGTGGAACTACAAATTTAAATATATCTACAACAATTTAAATATTAATGTTAACAAACTTAAGAACTATTTACGATGAGTAAGAAAAAAACTATAATACCAGTAAGATAATCAACAGTCATTTGACTGTAGCGTTAAAATAAATAAATAAAGGAAAATAATAATAAAAATAGCATTAATATATGTAATTCACAATGTCTTTGTTTATTCCCTGTAAACCATCAAATGTTATTTTATCTAAAATGTCAGATTTGGCTTTAAGAGCAGATTTAAAGGAAACAACGTTCGGTTTGCTCTTTAAGTACATGGGTAAGTTATTCGATAAAAGAGACGCTCGATGAGAGAAGGAAGATCGAAGGAAATTACTTCTAGGTCGTTGCACGTATAGTTTCAGACCGTCTCTGAGATTTCTTAACGGAGATTTTTTAGTAAATAGAGAGATTATACCAGCCGGAGCTTTATTGTAAAATGCCTGATAAGTTATAGTTGCAATTCTCTTTTTATAGATGTATGATAAGGATTTCCATTTTGTCTTTGCCAGGACTTCAGTGTTGAGAGTAGATTCCTTTATGTTAAAAATGAATCTCGCTGCTCTAATGTGAATGTCCTCCAGGATCTGAAGCGACATTGAGGATCCCCATAATGCAATTGAATATGTAATACTTGGAATAATACCTTTAAAATAAATAGACTCTAAGATGTGATTGTGGAGGCCTTTTAAATGCTTGAGTTTCTTCAGTCTTGCTGAGAAACGTTTGCTCAAAGTTTTTACATGTTGCGACCAAGAGAGATTATTGTCGATATGAATCCCTAAACATGTAGCTTTAGAAACAAAAGACAACTCATTAGGCCCTAAACAAATTTTCTGTAAGGGGCCGATAAATTTTGACTTGGATAATAACATCAATTCCGTTTTTGCAGGATGAACAGTCATGAAGTTATCCTTAGCCCATTTGTTTATGTCGGCTATCGCTTTCTGAATATTAGATAAAACTTCATCAACAGTTTTTCCAATGCAGTAAGCTGTGGTATCATCTGCAAACATTTCAACGGAAGCGTTCTTGGTGGCTCCGGGTAGACCATTTGAATAAATGCTGTAAAGTCTGGGACCAAGTAAAGACCCTTGGGGCACACCAGTATCTATTTCCAATGATTCTGAGTTTGAACCATTTACGGTGACATTGTTTACGATTTTCAAGGTAATTTAGGAGCCAATCGTAAAAGNACTGAGAAACCAGGAAAGATAACGGGAGATACATTGCTTATTGGATTGCCAAATCAACCAACTCTCGATGAAGTGAACTCGTAGATTGCACTGGAACATGGCCGCGCTATTGTTGTAAACGTTCGTCAGCAA